AGTCCTCCATCTTAGCTAGACCGGAAGCTTCTCTTAGCCCTGAGTATTGACTGAACCATGACCTTCCTCCCTGCCAGCTAACGAGATAATTAGCCAGCACTGTATATCATCACGGCTGTTGCTGGAAGGAATTTGTGCTGGCAAACGTCGTTTGTCAGGACCTGACTCCGTGTATCTCTGCTCCAGAACTCTTGTCGTCTTGATCCTCAGCTTTTGACCCTCGGCTTCGTTGACCCTGCTCTCGTCTCTGACTCCTCTGGCATCGTTTGGATTTATGGACATTGAACTCTGGTATGTCTGACCCTGGCTTTGGATTCTGATTTAAACCTGTTTGAACTTTGCTGCTTGTTTTACTCGGCTTGACTTCGGACTGCTCTTGGACTTTGCTTGCTTGCATCACGCCCCCTGGCCCTGCCGTGACATCGGGTGTGAAATTGACATGTTTGTGTTGGGGCAAACGGCGCTGTGCTGCAAGGCAGCTCTAGTGAGAAATCGCCCCCAACTTTTTTTCAGGGATGATTTCCTTTAATTGTTTTTTGAGCTCTTCCTTTTTAGTTGTGCAGCAAATAACTTAAAAAAAACTTGTCAATTTCATTCTACTGAAATTGTCAAAGTTCTGAAACTCATCAAGCTCTGTTTCTTTGAAACTAGGTGTGTTGCTAGAGGGACTTTCAGAAGTATGGGGGCAGACTGGCCATTAGACCACTGGGAAAGTCCTGGTGGGCTGATGGCCTGGGATGCCACTGCCCTGACCCTGGGGTAATCTTGGGCAAATTGGGTAGGATCCACTGCTGCTCTGAGCTGGCAACTCCAGCAGGGGTATTAGGAGATACCTTGCCTTGCAAGGTGGGTGAAACGTGTGGGAACCGTTGCATACTGGAGGCCCCCCACCCTACACAATGTGGCCAGGTATGAGCCACGCAGAAGCTGCAGTGAGCCTGCTCCTCTCCCCCCCCCCCCCACCGCCCCTCTGTCAGCCTTGGCTCTTTTCCTCCTTCCCTCCCACACTCTGTCAGGGGGCTGTGGTTGGAGCTTGGCCCCTTTCCAGGCTGCTTCTGCCAGTCCGCCCCTGCAGGAGTAGCAAAGGGGAAAAAAGTTGTAGGGTGGGTACACTTTCCAGGATCATCTAGTTAAGTTCTGAGAGCTCAGCTCTTACACAGTGACTTTGACTGTCTTGTCCAGGCAATTTTGATACAGCAACCTCTGAGGTGGAAAAGCAGCAGAGATGCTGTGTGGTGGTAACCTCGCAAGGTGCAAGGGAGGGGTGCACACGTCAGACAGTTACATGGTCCTTGGATCTTGAGACCTAATGGGCCATTCTTTGATAAGAACTGGTTGTGCCCTGTGACATCACTTGACTTCATTATGAGCTACCTAACTGTTTGAACTGAGTTTTCCATTCTGTGCTCTCTCTGTCTCTATCTCTGTCTCTGTCTCTGTCTGTCTGTCTGTCTCTCTCTCTCTGTGAGTGTGTGTGTGTGTGTGTGTGTGTGTGTGTGTGAGGGGGTGTCTGAACCCTGCCTCTCTGACCTCCCTCTCCCAGGACAAGAAATTTCTCCATTGCTTCCCAGGGTCTTGCATTTCAATTGCTCCAAGTTCCAACAGAGAAATTTTCTGTCACAGGAGGGTGGAAGGTAAGAGGGGTGGCATTCTGACCTTGGCTTCCCCTGGCCCATCGGGAATAAGGGGAAAGGAATCCTCAGTCGAGAGAGATTCCATGTAGGGAGAGCAGCCTCAGAGTCTACTTCATAAAGACCCCACTGCAGTGCCTGGTGAGTTTTGTTTGGAGAAGCTCATCATGACTGGTCAGGGGCTGGGGCTGGCATTAAGCTCTCATTATACCCTGAAGCAGAGAGCTAGGGCTAAAGCCTGGACTAGGGAGTGGTGCACAAGGCCTTCTGTACTTTAGCTTGCCACAGGAGGAAGATTTATGTCTTTATTTTATTTACAAAATTTATACCCAGCCTTTCTGCCGTCATGAGGGCCACCAAGGCGGCTAACAGATTAAAAATATACATAACAAACATTAAAAACCATTTTAACCAAGCATGCATCCTGGAATGCCACAAGAACCTTGGGGAGGGGGTCAGAACACAAGTAGCTTGGAAGGGGGGTTCCAATATATGGGTTCACTGGCTTGTGGCCCACAAACTATGCATTGTTCGCCCCAGCTGTAAGGTACAAAGGATGTGTGTGTATAATTTTGACTTTGTGCAGGGTCTGTCCACATTTCTGGCTGCAACTGCTGCTGAGTTTCTCAGATATTGGCTATAGCAACCTATCTAGAAGCTTGTACAGCAAGGACTGTATTATCTACAGGTGCGCAGCATAAATGAAGCCTTCTCTGTCTTTCTACAGTTCTCCAGCTTAGGGTAAGAAAATGTAACCAGGATAGGATAGTTGTGGCATAGTCCTTTCTGGCCTGTACAGCTTCAGACTGCAAAGTAGGAAAACTCATGTTGGTTTGTTCCCACACTTTGAAACTTCCTTGTGTATGAAAAATGACCAGGAGAATGTTTTGCTGCTGTGGTTGTTTGCCATCAAGTTGCCATCAAGTTGCTGCCAACTTATGGTGACCTCAAGGAGATTTCAGGGCTAGGGACATTCAGAGGTGGTTTACCATTGCCTGCCTTTGCCTGACAGATTTTACTGGTGGTCTCCCATCCAAATATTAACCAGGGCTGACCCTGATTAGCTTCCAAGATCTGATGAAATTGGTCTAGTCTAGGCTATCCATGTCAGGGAGAGAAGAGTTTCACCCTATCTTTTTCGAGTGTGTGCTGTGCTAGTCTTCTGTTAGCTACTTCTTCTATTACCAGCAGTGGCGTGGGAGCTTCAGTGATGTGCCAGGCCAATTATGTCTCCTGCAGATATCAGAAGGAAACCCATCCTAACACAAAAAACCCTGTGTAGACTTCTTCTTACATAAGCCTGCTGTTGTCATATTTTTAGTTCAGCCAGATTTTACTTTTGCCACACAGCTTCCCAAATGAATTATAATTTTTTGGGGTTTTTTTTGAGCTCTAGGAATCATGTGTACTTTATAGTTTATGGAGTAGTTTTCCTAACATGACTCCAGGGAGATATCTCTTAAATGCCTAGTATAACTCAGACATTTCAAAACAAGTCATAGAATGAAGCATATCTAAATTATAGAATGAAGCAGAATTTTTCAACATTTTGTACAGGACATTTATGCCAGTTTGGTGTAGTGGTTAAGTGTGCGGACTCTAATCTGGAAGAACTGGGTTTGATTCCCCACTCCTTCACTTGCAGCTGCGGGATGACCTTGGGCAAGCCATAGTTCTTCAGAGCTGTTCTCTTGAGGACAGTTCTGGAAAGAGCTCTCTCAGCCCCACCTACCTCACAGGGTGTCTGTTGTAGGGAGAGGAAGGGAAAGGAGTTTGTAAGCCGCTCTGAGACTCCAAGTGAAGGGCAGGGTGTAAATCCAATATTTTCTCTTCTTCATTTATTTATTTATTTATGTTATTCAACTTATATCCCACCCCACATGGCAGGCTCAGGGCGGGTTACATCAAATTTGATAAAAATACAACATACACAATTAACTCAATTAAAACACTAGTAAAATACCACAATAACCTTCATCCGGTGCCATCATTGACATTAAAACCTCACCAATGCCAACTCTGGTATGCAGTTCTGACCCACTGAGGGGAGACCCAGTAAAGAGGGAGGAACGTCCATCACCCTAGTAAAAAGCCTGGTGGAAGAGCTCCGTCTTGCAGGCCCTGCGGAACTGTAAAAGGTCCTGCAGGGCCCTAATCTCGTATGGGAGCTCATTCCACCAGGTAGGAGCCAGGGCTGAAAAG